GGGGAGTTGGGCGGGTGGGGGGGAGGGGTCTGTGTGGGATGAGGAAAGCAGGGGCCGGATGGAGTGAAACGAATGAATTGCAGAGAGGAGGGGCACGCCAAGTTCTTTCAGCGATTGTCTGCCTCATCACAGCCCTGGCAGCATAGCCTGCACATTTCAGCCCACCCCCCTCAGTGTTGCCAGGCCCCCCCTCCAACTCCCCCCACAATCCCTCCCAGAATAGAGTACACGCTGACCTGGATGAGGTCCTTGCCGGAGACGCGGAGGTCAAAGGGGTACCGAGAACTCGAACTCACGGCGTGCCCGCGCCAGCAGGTCCCGGGGGATGGGCGTGTCACGCGGCAGCTCCCCGCCCAGGAATATGTAGTTCCACACCTCGTTGGTCAGGTCCCTGACATCCACGGGTCCCGACCTCACAGCATACATGTCGCCCTCGTGAAGGAGGTGCGCCACGGTGTAGTAGGCCATGTAGATGGTGGAGTCGGAGAGGGACTCGATGAGGTACTCTGGGTCCCAGGGGAGCAGCGTGCCCAGGCCAAAAGAGCGAGAGCAGGCCCACTGGTTCAGCCAGCCCAGGGTGTGCTCAAACTGGCCCTTGGCTGCAAGTCGTTTTGGGGTGGTGAGGTGGAGGGTTGGGGGCAGGGGGTGTGGGGGACTGGAGAGCCAAAGGGGGGGTGGCAAGGTGCTCGAGAACAGCAACGTAGGTAGACAGGCATGGGCGAGGAGCACACAGGGCCACCCGGCCCCCGCAATATCAGGGACTGAGCTGCGCTGCCCAGGTCACCAGGGAGGAGTGACTGTGCTCTGCACCTGTGCAAGACATTTCATGGGTTCCCCTCACATCTCATAAAGCCCCCAACCTCTCCACTCTTCAACAACCTCCCTCTTGCCCCCTTTGCGCCACTCACTGATGCTGTCCCCCGAGGGGCCGGAGGCGTCGTACCAATGCATCTGCTCCAGGCAGGACTGCGCGGCGGCACGCCACTCCTCCTCGCCGTAGATGATGTACCACTGGTCGGTCAGGGCCACCACGCAGTCGTCGTCGGAGCGCGACCGCACCGGGTTCTCCGGCTCCGCGTATGGCACGGCGTCGCCGGCGCGGATCAGGTCTGCCTTCTCTAGGTCCTTGGCCTCCTTCACCTGTGAGAAGATGGAGAAGCAGGCATTTGCGTTCAGTAGGTGACGATGTTTACGAAAGATCAGGATTGGGCGTTAGGGTAGCGGGATCGTCAACTAGACTGCAGTGCTCGTAGCAGTTGGCGCGCTCATCATTGAGCCACCCCCATACACTCCATCCCAACACCATCAACACACCGGTTTGCCGGCGTAGGTGCCGACCAGCATGACGCCAGAGTCAAAGCCACGGCGGTAGCACTCCGCTTTGGCCTTGGCTAGCTTCTCTGTGTCGTTCTGTGAGTGGGGATCGCAGTGTTGGGGCAGTTGGGGGACCTGATGAGGCCAAGGCTGAGCCAAGGGGGGTCAGGCCCTCAGGCAAAGCCTCTCTGGGTGAAGTTGTCGAGCCTCCCATCTGAGGCAGGCCATAGGATTCGAGCAGGGGCCCCCCAGAGCACAAGGCACCGTGCTGCAAGTTGGCTGATTATACCCGCCACCCCCCTGCCCCGCCTTACGAAGCCTGCCTCTGTGCATACCTGGCTCTGGACCTTCAGGTCAGTGCACAGCTTGACAGCCGCCAGGTCACCCAGGCCCGGAATATCGATGATGGGGATGACCTGCAGGCGCGGGCAGTGAGTGCGGCAGCGATGCGGATTGTGCGCGGTCATGGCACCGGAGGGCCTGTGCGCTGATGCTACCAACGCTACACCTGCCGGCGCGTGCCGTGGGACCTGCATCCTGCAGGAAGCTGCCCACGCATGCCCTTTCACCCTCCCAAACACCCCTTCCCCAGCAGGATCGGACCTGGTAGGGCAGCACCATCTCGTCGGTGATGGAGTAGAGCTCGCGCAGCTTGGGCTTCTTCACCAGATCCTGCAGCGCCGCATAGTCGTCGGGCGAGTCGCTGGGCACGCTGGTCACCACCCCGGTACCCTGTGAGGTGGGGGCAGGAGGGTGTGGGTCGGTGGGACAGAAAGTAGGGGGGGGTTAAAGAGATCTCTGAAAAGCTGCGAAACAACCGAAGCAGGCGCTTGGCGCCAACTTTGCATCCCTGACAGAGGGGACTCTGAGTGCAAGACACAGCGCTGCACACCATTCAAGCACACACGACCATGACGTCCCAAACTCTGATTGACGCCTGTCCACAGGCAGGATCCCCGGAAGGATCACCACACTCCCCCATGCGCGCACCCCACCTTGTCCATCTTGATGGTGAGGAGGGGCAGCACGTAGATCCGCTCGTGCGTCGCCCGCGGGCTCTATGGGGAGGGAAGCATGGGTTGAGGTTGAGGGGTGAGAACGCAGGGCGCCACATAACACTGCATGTCCCATCACTTCTCACACCACATTCGACACCAATCAACACGCTCACCCGGAGGGGCAAGCCCAGCAGGTCCTCCCCCGCCAGGTCCAGCAACTTCTCAGCGACACCGTTCTCGGGGGTGAGGTCCTGGAAGCACATGTTGCGCGCGGCGCGAGCGGTGAGGACAAAGATCTCGCCGTTCTTGGCCCTGCATGGGAGGTGTGAAGGGTTTGGGGGCATCGAGCATGCACGGTGCCTTCTCTTGCTTTCATGCATGCAGCTACACCAACAATTTGCCTGGCCTGGCCTCGCCCTCCAAGCTCCTCCAGGCACCTCACCTGAAGGCGGCATACTTGCCGACCTCAGAGTCGGGGTTCTTGGGGTCGCTGGGCCGGACCCAGGCATTGGTCTGGCCATACATGGTCTCTGGGCGCAGCGTGGCCGCCATCAGGAACACATCTCCCTGGCCTGTTGATGGCAGGGTGAGTGGGGAGCCGGGGTGGGGGGCAGCAGGATTAGGGTGGGGAGAGGCAGGCTCGGGCAAGGGTTTTCCTGAGAGGAGCACTGCCAGAAAAGCAACCACTCAGAAGGCATGGCGACAACAGCCTGAACGTCTGCTTCCCACTGGATCTCCAGAGAGCGCATCTGATCAGGGTGCTCTTGAACATCACCGCATAACCCCACTCCACTCCCCACCAACAGCATTGAAGGCACCTTCCAGAGCTGCCAGTATTCCACGCAGCTCTAGCACCTTCATCTTGACCAGGGTGTATTCCTGGGGACCCACGCCCTCGCCCGTGGCGCGGTCATGGTCGGCGCAGGGCTGGCCGTCCTTGGGCGAGTACACGGAGTAGCGCTTGTCCTTCACGATCTTGCCCTGAGGTGAAGGATGGAAGGAGTTGGGCGTATGCTGAGATTGCTATATGCCCTTGCTGGGAGGCAATTGCATGATGTAAGCAGGAGTAAGCAGGGGATAGTGCATTGCAACCAAGAATGGAGAGGAATGTGCAGCAGCCAGGCAGGACAGGAGCACCTCAAGCCATGCAGGGACAGGTGCAGGATGCTGGAGCGGCTGCCGGCATCTCAGAGCCCACACGGCTCGCAGTACCTTGCTGTACAGGGTCCAGAACTGCCACTGGATGAAGGAGTCGTAGTACTTGTTCAGGTCCGTAGTGACAAAACTGCGCGGGTTTGGGGAGGATTTCGCATGAGCACAGTCTGAGGCCATCTCTCGCAGCACCTGCCATGTCACTTTGTCATACTGGGCTGCTACTTTGAATTGTACCCCAGCTGCGTGTGAAAGTCACAGACACACACTCCATGTCCTGCCTGGGGCCTTGGCAAAGTCTGCACTTGCAATTCCCAAATGACCTCCGTCCCCACCCCGCGGTATAAACCCATACCTGCGGCGCCAGTCGACCCCACAACCCATTGCCTTGATGTCTCGCACAGCCAGGGGCGGGAAGTATTGCAGCCAATGCTTGGCATCCGCAAACTGCAGCAGTGTGGGGAGGAAGGTTATGCACTCTTGAGCTGCGTGCACTCGAGTATTGCTTGGCGCATCGAGGCACACTCGGGCACCAGGCCTCCAGTAATGGGCGCCTCCCTTGGGTGCCAGCGCCCCCTGCTCTTGATCTCAAACTAGAACCCAAGACTACCTTGGGGATGTCTTCCTCAGGGATGCCGCTCATCCGCATGATCTCCCACTGAGTGTTGCCTGGCCCAGTCTTGGCAGCGGCCTTGCTCTTCTTCCCTGTGAACTTGGAAGGGTCATCCCTCTCTGTTGGGGCCTGCAGATTGAAGGGGCTGAGAGGGGTCCTAGACAACAGAGCACCACTGATTTCCATCGTCATCACGATCTGCAGGAGACAGAGTCCTTATGCAACACTGGCAAGCTTCATCTCGTTGTACAGTGCATCGATTAGCAAGACTCGTAACGAGCCCCACTACCTACGAGCGCATCAGTGCTCAGCAGGAACCCATCATGCAGGCTTGACCCTTCCTGCCTCATCCTGCACGCATCCTTCCTCCAGTGCACCTTCGCAACGACAGCAACCACAGGCTTTGCTTCCTCTGGCGCTTGAGCTCTCTCAATCTCGCCCTTCAGCTTATCGGCGCAGGCCTGTGACATGGAGGCCCAAGACTTGGCTATAGACCATGGAAGGGGCGCTTTCCTTCATGCCTATTGCAGTTGTCATGCCGCACTCTGTGCTCCTCCAGTCTGACCGCTGAACAGCTGTTACTCCTGCCTCCGCTCACCTTGATTGGCATGCCGGTCAGGTGAAAGGCTTGGGGGAAGAGCACCCTCTTCCCTGACAAGCGATGGTAGGCTGATGCGAACTCCAACTGCAGTTGTATGGAGGTGGCACGTCGTCAGCTTTTTGTATGGCAAGTATGCAATCCTGGGGTAATCTTACTTCAAGGATGAGACACCCTGTCAAACACCTGGCCAGATGCGCAGCCACTTTCTGCACTTTCCCAACTCAAAGCACCCACAGGCACACCTTGGAAAGAGAAAAGGCATGGCCCAGGTGGAGCAGCCCATTCATGTAGGGGTAGGGAAAGTTCCCGAAGAACTTCTCCACTGTCTCACCTGCAGGGAGTGGCACAGGATGAAAGGAGCTCATTGGTATACGGTCATGCTTAGGCTTGGCGACTCATGCACCCCGTCCTCTACCGAGCGCTTACCCTCACTCGGAGCGTCTACCTCGAACAACTTGGCCTCCTCCCATTTCTTCTGAGAGGACTCCTGGATCTTCACCAAGAAGTCGCGCTTTGCAGTGTTGTATGGCTGGCGCGATGGGACGGGGGTGACGTGGGAGGGATCACTTTATAGATGACTATCATGTTTCAATGCGCCATTGATACATGAGTTATCGTCAAACCTCCAAAATACGTATACACATGCTGATCTTGGGCTTGGACCTATCTCACCTCCGTGACCTCCGCCATGCTGAATGACGCTGCTCAAAAACCACCTAGCAGAATGTGCGCCACTCCTGCTGCCTGACGTTTGCAATTCAAAGAGGGATTTGGAGACCTCAACACCGAGCCTTGTGCACCTGGAAGCATGCCGGTCGTCTGCACACCCGCGTGCAGTGCCCCGTGCTGATTTGGTACCTCGCGCCCTCAAGCGGCTGGGACTCCCCTCCCCCTCGTCCTCCACTCGCGATCCAGCATGATGCCGGCTTCGACCTGCCAGTGAAGTATCGAAATTGTTTTAGCCCGAGTTCCGCATCATCCCGTCACTCATTAGAGGATCTGGCCGCTGCTCGGACTCGGTCTGTCGGGGCGCCCCTTCAAGTACTGGCTCCCTGGCAGCCCCCTCCCGGCTTCGCTGCCGACAATGTCGGTGAAGAATGTACTCCATGACGCAGGTCTGGGCCATTTGACTCCCTGCTTTGCCGAACTCAGCTACCAGCGGTTCAAATGTCTCCTGATCCAGGTACTCAACCGCTTAGACCCACCCCGGAGTCGGTGGGGTAGGGATGATCTGGTCGCGACACATTCGGGCGGCACGCGATCCGTCATGATTTTGGACGCCGGTGTGTAATCATTGCTCAGATCACCGCTTTCACCCCGTGCGGACGTGCAGGACTACGAAAAATATGGTGTGTACGATATGCAAGACAAGCAGGCGCTCTTCCGACTGATCCAGTCCATAGGCGCCAGCGAATCGGCCACCCCTCCACTGGATGACAGGAGGTGCGTGTGACTTGTGACAGGGGATGGCAGTGTGAGTTGTGCAAGTGGTAACCTGGGATATTATGAATGTCTGCAGAAAGTGGTGGACTGGCTTGCGCCTTTGAGTACAAATAACGCCAGCAAAGAATCTGGATGGAGCATGAAAACGAACACTGGACTTGGAGTATCTTTGATCATGCAAGCAGGCATGGCGCTGGACTAGGGGAGACAGCCCTCGTAGATCTGGAGGCCGATGACTCCGACTTCCTGACAGAGGTTGGACCGCGGGACCTGTGTCCTTTGTTTCTTTCAACTTCCAACAAAAATAGTGCAGTTGGTGGTGTTGGTGCTCCACAACTCACCAATCCCTTTGGATACCTCACCCTGCTACATCTGCTTGTGTACGCAGGACATAGATCTGCAAGGCTTCTCGAGTCAGGGATTCATGACGAGCCCAGCCCCAGGGGACGGTACCCTTGCTTCGCCTGCCTCAGAGCATAGCAGTCTGGACTGCCACCCCATCTTCATGGCTCCAGACCCGCCAAAAATCCGAGTGATTGTCAGGAAGAGGCCCCTCAATCGCAAGGTGAGCAGAGGCGCACGTGAGGGCTGAGTGGGGATCACGGGTGCTCCTGAGGTTTCATTCTGGCCCTCTGCGTCTAGGTGAGCCTCCGTGTCCTTGCAGTCTCAGTGACAAGGTGCCCAACCACCCTGCTCCCCTGCCGGAGCACAGGAGGAAGAGCGTGGCGACTCTGATGTGCTGGAGTGTGACTGTGCCACCTCGACGCTGTATGTGAACGAGCCGAAGCAGAAAGTGGATCTCACCAAGTTCACTGAAAGGCACACCTTCAGGTAGGAAAAGTTTGAGAAGGCTTTGTTTGCAAGACAGAAAAGAGAGCTCGCGTGACATGAGCAGCAATTGCAATGCTGGAATGGTCTACACCGGAATAATTGATCTGTACCATGTTCCGCCCCTTCTCAAATTAATTCTCTGCCATCCAAATTCACATCAACATGAACTAGATTCGATGATGTGTTTGGGGAGGATGTGGACAACGATGCCCTCTACTGCACCGCCATCCAGCCCCTCATCTCCACCATCTTCCGGTGCGGCGCAGTTTCTTTTGCACACATCCCCGGGGGGGCATGCGAGTTGGTTGGGACAATGGCGTCGGGCCCACCTTGTGGCATATCCTGCTGTGCAAGGACGTGCCCACCGTATGGCTGTCGATCCTCTTCTTCCCAGCCAGTAGCTTACAATGCTCAGCCATCGACGCCTCCCCCAAACAGACGAGGGAAGGCAACCTGCTTTGCATACGGCCAGACAGGGAGTGGGAAAACGTACACCATGCAGCCGCTCCCCCTCCGGGCCGCCGTGGACGTGCTGTCGGTGCTGAGCACGCCCGACTTTCACGGGGTGGGGCTGCACGTTAGCTGCTATGAGATCTACGGCGGGAAGCTGTTTGACCTGCTGAACGCGCGGAACAAGCTGGAAGTGCGGGAGGACGGCAAGCGTCGGGTGCAGGTCAGTCGGTCGCAAGGGCAGCGCTTTTGTGATGTTCAGGGGGCAGAAGTTCATGCCAGAGCCACGAGAGTGGGACAGGTCATGGGGGACTTGCTCCATCGCAGTTGTGATGGAATCTCAACCCTGGACCACTGTCAATGCCAAGGAACCCATGTTGGTCATGCGTGGGCCCCAGGGATTTAAAGTTGAGGCCTCCCCGATGCCCCGCCACACCTCCTCCAGTCACCCTTTCTATCCAGGTCGTTGGGCTGCGCGAGGTGGATGTGCACGACGTGGATGTGCTGCAGCAGCTCGTGGAGCACGCCGCCGCCTCCCGCTCGACAGGCAGCACGGGGGCCAACGATGAGTCATCGAGGTAAGGGGCACGAGAGTGGTTAGGCAGCCGCTCTGGGCTTTCATGTGGGTGTCTGCCAGGGCGTGCCGCGTGCAAGCTCCGACCATTGGGTCGCCTCACCCCTTCCCTATCCACCATCCACCCTCATGCCCTCGTCAGATCCCACTCTATCATGGTGTTTGCGCTGCGGAACGGGAACGAGCCCAAGAGGCCGGTGGTGGGCAAGCTCACCTTCATCGACCTGGCGGGGTCGGAGCGGGGGGCCGGTGGGTGTGGGAAGGGCAGTGGTGATGTTGGACTGGGCAGCGTGTGTGGTCATGCTTGACATGCGATCACGTGCGTCAGGGCCGAGCTGCATCGTGGGGGGGTTGCCACCTCGAGCCCCGGGCCCCATGTGCAGACACATATGACAACGACAAGCAGACACGGCTGGAGGGCGCTGAGATCAACAAGTCCCTCCTTGCCCTGAAGGAGTGCATCCGGGCGCTGGACAGCGACGCGCGGTGCGCCGAGTGGGGAGATGGGGGTTGATTCGAGGGTGGGGAAGACCTGCCGGCCCCGCCCACCGCCGAGCACGGGGCCCAACGCCTTGGCCTCTGGACGCCCTGCCTGCTGGGTCTAGGGTGTCAGCCTGTGGTGGGGTGATGCTGACGGAAACAAACCACCTGCGCCCCCCTCCCGCCACGCCGCTGCGCAGACACATCCCCTTCCGCGGCTCCAAGCTGACGGAGGTCCTGCGCGACTCCTTCATGGGCAAGGCGGCGCGGACGGTGATGATCGCCAATGTGTCCCCCTCGCTCCTCCTCCTGCGAGCACACGCTGAACACCCTGCGCTACGCCGATCGAGTCAAGGGTGGGTTGCTTGTGGTGTGGCATGTTCACTGGGGGGGCATGCGGAAGGGTGCCCCTGTGAGCTGGCGGGTGCGAGGAGTGCTCGAGCCGCGGAATGAACCCCAGTGCCGTGCCAAGCAGTGCACCCACTGTCCTCCTCACACCAATCTTCCTGCAGAAATCCGGAAGCCCCAACCTGGCGTCCCCGCCGCGCTAGCGCCCGCCATCGGGGAGACGGCCGCGCAGCTGGCGCGCCTGCTGCAGGCACCCCCCGCCGCGCCCACCCCTGCCCCACAGCGCCAGCCTGGACCCGCCCCCCGGGCCGCGCCGGCGCCCGCAGCCGCGCCTGCGGCCGGGGTCCCGGCACCCAGGCCCCCCCCGCAGGAGGCGCCGCTGGTCCCCGCGCGCGGAATCACCACCCGATCCAAGCAGCGCGGTACGGGCGAGGCGGCGCCCGCCCAGGAGGCCTTTGTCCCCACGCACAACCCGGACAGCATCGCAGCGGCCCGGCCCGAGCCACCCCGAAGGCACGAGGCGGCGCCTACGCCGCGGGACGCGCCCGGAGCACACCAAGCGCCGGGCCCGCAGGCGGACAAGGGGCGCGCCCCGCCGGCCCCTGCCCTGGCCGCCGCGACGTCGAGCGACCCGGGAGTCGCTCCCCACCCGGCGCCGCGCGACCCGACCAGCACTGCCCCAGCAGCCGACGCGGCGCTGGACGCGGAGCTGTCGGCGCTGATGGCTGCGGAGGATGAGCTGGTCGCCGCGCACCGACAGCACATCGAGGACTCCATGGCCCACGTGCGGGAGGAGATGGCGCTGCTGGGCGACCTGGACGGCGGCGGCGCGGCGGGGGACGTGGAGGCCTACGCGGCCGAGCTGACGGGCCTGCTGGCCGAGAAGGCGGCGGCGGTGGCGGCGCTGCAGCTGCGTGTCACCCAGTTCCGGCGCCTGGTGCAGACCACCCTGGAGCGGCACGCCAGGGCTGGGAGTGGCGCCGGGCAGCAGTGAGGGACTCCAGTGTGTGTGTGTGTGTCGGGGAGGGGGGTGTCCTGTGCCAGCGAGCCCGAAGCGAGGAAACCGAAAGGCTCCGACAGCGCGGGCACCCGCAACCCTGCCCGTCTCCTTCGACTCCCCTGGCCCACTCGCTCTGTAGCCTTGCCACCCAGACACACGATTACACGGCGCCCAGCTCCTTCAGACTGCTCATGAAGTCGGCGTACTTTTCGTCCAGTGAGGGCGGGGGTGCGGCGCTCGCGGGCGCGGCGGTCTTCGCGGGGGCCGTCACCGAGCGGGGGAGGAGGCCGAAGCCCGGGCCGGGGACGGCGCGGCCGGGGGCGCCTGCCCGGGGCCGGGGCGCGGCGGAGGGTCGATGCACCATGAGCGTCGCTGGGACCATGCTCGTGACTGCGGGGCGGGCGGATGGGTGTGGGTGGGGTGGCGATCCCACAGCCTGCAGGCACCGCACACCCAGACCGGCAGAGCAGCCACCACATGCAGTCGTCGAGCACCCTGAAGGAGTGCCCGCCCCCCTCCCATCCTCCACTCCACGACACCTCTCTTGTCCTGGTGGGCCTTGGGCAGGGGCACGACAGTGGACTTCCCAGAGATGACAGCTGCCGCGGGGCCCTTGGCGGACTGGGCCACCGCGGGCGGGGGAGGCCTCGGAGCTTGCGCCTGGTGCGAAATCGAGGCCCGCAGCGCCTGCCCCGCCCAGGGCATCCCTCCCCCCGCGGGAGGCGGCCCCGGGGGCGGGGGCAGAGGGGCCCCATGCTGCAGGTGGTGAGGCGGGGGCCCGGGCGGAGGGGCGAGGGGGGGCGGTCCGGGCGGAGGAGGGAGCGGGGGCCCTCCCGGGGGCAGAGGAGGTGGACCATTTGGTGGCGGCGGCAGTGGAGGGGCTGGAGGGGGTGGGGCGCAGACGTATCCCGGAGGCGGACCAGGAGGGGGCGGCAGGACTGGGACCCCGGGGGGAGGTCCAGGCGGCGGCGGCAGCGGAGCACCTGTCGATGCAAAGGGGGGCGGGGGGGAGGGTTTCGGGGGGCGAGGCTGAAGGAGTTTTGAAGCGGTGAAGCCACTGCTGTGACCTGAGGGGTCGAGCAGGGCCTCAGACGCCATGAGCATTGCATAGAAGCTCCATGTCGCATCTGCAGGGACCATCACCTGGGGCAGGACCCGCCGGCAAGGGTGGCAGCGCTGGGACTGGCACGGAAAGAATGGAGGGCGCTGCGCTGCTGCTGCTCGGGGTTGCTGGCGTGTTGTACCTGCAGAGGGGGTGGGTCATCACACGAACCCTGCAGTCTTGCACATGCGCTTCCATGGTGCGAGGCCAATCCGTCAAGAGCCTGTCCTTGTCCCGCACCCCAGTCCATTTCACCCCAGCACCTACCGCTGAGCTTTGCCGGGGGGTGGGAGACCCAGCGGGTTCAAGGTCGGGTGGTAATACACAGAATCCTCAGGTCGGTGCATGGTCTCTGATGCAGCCAGGGATGCCTCTCCGGGGGCCAGTTTGATGCAGGCCTTCTCCTCCTGCAGTGAGAGGTAGGGTGAAAGGCAGTCATGAGGAGTGGTAGAGGTCTTCGACTCCAGTGCGCTATCCATGGCCTCTCCCAGGCAGCTGCAGCACAGGGATCCCCCCTACACTTGAGTGCCCCAGTCCCAAGTTTTTGGGTTCAATGCTCACCATCTGCCTCTTGATGGCCTGTTCATATGCTGATTGCAGCGCTTTCTTCTTCAGCCGCAACGTCGGATTGGACTTGCCGGCCTGCTCTGCTGCAATGACCTCCTTCAGCTGCTCCTTCAGACTCTCAGGATCATCCCGCTTGGAGTAGGCATCTCGCTGCAGTGACCTCTCCTTCTTGTTCCGTGCAATTTCTTTGGCCCTCTGTGTTTTCCTGCAGGTTCGGAGGCGGCACAGGATGAGATTTGCAAGGTCTGCGGAGCTCTCCTCCTGCTCGTCGCTTGACCGTGGTAATTCCTTCTCCCTCGTACCTGAATGCATCAGCTGGATTCAGCTCCCGTCCCTTCCCCTTCTTCACCATGCTTGCTACTCAAGCTGGCAGGGATATGTTTTGGGATGTACGATCCCTACCCAGGACTGTTAGTGATGAGTTTCTTTGGCTCCTTGTTCCTCTGCGCCACCTGCTACCAGGGTCCTGCCATAGGGGAACAACTCAAGCCGTTCGAGAGCCCTGAATGCCAACAGAAAGAAATTTCGAGTAGTCGAAAATATCATCAGCACGCTAGTAGAAGAGCGGATCAGGCACGAGACATCAGGCTCAGCTGGCGCGCCCTCTCTCGGCGCGCACTGTCGACAAGCGCGGTTGATCCGACGTCATATAGCGCAGGGTTATTGACGACGCTGTTCACCATGCTGCGCACGCCTCCACATTCAGTGCTAACATAAGGTGCCATTAATCACGCTGAAACGTTCATTCTCGATCAAACTCCTGCGCGCTCGCTGAGAGCCCACCCGCCGGCACCCGGTAGTCAGCCCCCGTGTCGGACCCAAGGGAAGGGGGTGACTCGGAGCTGTGAGCCCTGCGCCATACCCATCATGCCTGATATGAATGCGCGCATGGATGCTGAAGCCTCCATAAGTGGGCAGGATGATGGAGAATCGGTGTATGATGGGCTGCCCTTTTACCAGGTGAGCACCCAGCAGGAGCAGCCACAGTCGCACGCAGGCAGCTCCCGGGCTTGCTGCCTGATCAGCCTCAACATTACACTCCGCCCACAGCACATGATGGCAGGAGCACTGGCTGGCATCGGGGAGCATGTCGTGATGTTTCCAGTGGACACGATCAAGACACGCATGCAGGCCTTGGCCCACCCGGGGCAGCAGGTGAGAATCAACCCTGGTGCTCATGGCCCCATTTTTGTCTACGCAGATCTCCATTTTGTCACTGTCTGCCTCCTGATCAGGACTGATGATTTATCAGGGACGCGAACGGCTCGACGCGCGATGCACCTGAGGCTGTGTTGATCTGGTCCGATGCCGCAGCGGGTGTGCCTTGCCCACATCACATTCTTGCCCTGAGCAAAGCAGTCTCATGCCTCTGCATCCCCCGCCTGCGCAGCTGCACCTGTCTGTCAGGCACGCGATGCGGGCGGTGCTGAGGCGGGAAGGCGTGGCGGGGCTGTATCGTGGAGTCACAGCAATGGCCCTTGGCGCCGGACCCGGCCACGCGCTCTACTTTGCCACATATGAAAAGGCCAAGCACCTGTATGGCGGCAACCGGAAGGGCCACCAGCTCGTTGCCACGGCGGGTGCAGGTGGGCTTTCGGTGGCGACGGATGGGACGAGAGGCGAGGAGAGGGAGGGTGAGGACTGCTGCCGGGGCGATGGCAGTGGGTTTGGGTCATTGGAGCAGTTGTTTCCTCCCATTGTCAGACATGGGCTGGCCCACCCCTGAGTTCTGTTGCTTTCCCACGGGGGCTGCGCCGCCCCTTGCCAACCCCAGGCTACCCCTGGCTGTCTTCCCTCGTGTTGGGCACCTGCCCCTCTTCCTGCCGTCCGTATGGTTGCCTCGGAGCCTCGTCGCCCTCCCTCCCAAACTCCCTTCAGGCGCCACCGCCACGATCGTGAACGACGCGTGTATGACCCCGTGGGACGTGGTGAAGCAGCGGATGCAGGTGTCCCACAGCCCTTATCGCAACATCTTTCACTGCGCCAAGTCCACCTACCGACACGAGGGCCTGTCGGCCTTTTACAGATCCTACTGGACCACGGTGGGTGGATGGTTCAGCAGCTGGGACGCGTTGCCATGGAGCCCTGGGCTCGGCGCTGTGGTGGAGATTCAGATCGCAACACCCTGCATGGGAGCCGGTGCAGCCTGGCAGTGGAGTGATGATTGACCGAGGATGTTTGGCTCAGGCAGTGTGCTGCACCCTGCCGTAAGTTCCTGCCCAGTAAGGCTATCAATTCCTTCCCATCCCGCTCTTTCCTGGGTGCAGCTGGTCATGAATGTGCCCTACACGGCCCTTCAGTTCATGCTATATGAATCCAGTAAGAAGCTGCTGGTGGGCGAGGGCACGGCCGACGAGGAGGAAGAAGGCCTCAAAGTCCAGGTAGCGAGCCTCTGGGGGGTGGGGAGGGGGTGGGGGGGGTAAATGGTATGGCCTGTGAGGAGGTGCAGGGGCGCGCATGGACGAGGTCTGCCCGGCACTCGCCTGCCATGCCCCCCGGCCTCAATGCCCATAGCTGCAACCCCCCCGCAACCCATCATTCGACCCCCCTTCACACAGTTCGTCGCGGGGGGGATCGCCGGGGGCACCGCCGCCGCCGCCACCACGCCCCTGGACGTGGTCAAGACCCGGCTGCAGCTGGAGGGGCTGGGCAGCGCCACACGGTACCAGACCATGTCCGTGATCCCGGTCATGCGGCGCATCGCCGGCGAGGAGGGCGCCGCTGCGCTGTGGAGTGGCTGGCGGCCCCGCGTGCTCTTCAACGCGCCGGCCGCGGCCATCTGCTGGGGCGTGTACGAGACATGCAAGACTTTCCTGGCGGGGGATGACGTGGCGGACCAGGCTTGATGAACTGTGCAGGGGTTCAGCTGACAGCGTGACTCGCAGTCCCAAGCTGGAACCACGCCACGCACCCAGCGCTGTTGGTGGGACCGCAACTCCCCCCTGTCTGCTCCCCAGGGGTGAGCCTGCACCTGTCACAGCTCTGCTGCCGCTGGGACATGCTGCTCTACACCTTCCCGGCGACCTCCTCTTGCTCGTCTCATCTCCCCGCTGAAGAATTTTGGGTTCCTCGCTGTAACCTGTGTCGATTTCCCACCCAACGCTTCCCTGGCCAAAACAGGGCATGCGACTCCCACTTGCACACCTAGCCCCTCCACTTTTGCTCTAGGGACAGTGGGCAGTGTGTCTCCATGAGGAACTGGAGAAGCAAGGGGGGAAATGTGCGACGAGGAGACGCCAGGCTCCGCTCAAGGGTTCTCAGGTCCGGGGGATTCCTTGCTTGAGAAGCCAGGTGTGCCTGGGGGTACAGGAGAGCGTCAGGGTGTGGGGGATCTGGCTCACATTGCAGATGTTTGCTTTCATCTCACGCTGCCCGCCCAGCCTGGCAGCACGACGGGCATGATCGTCCACTACCTGGCATCCAACCCGCCTTCACCTGGTGGGGCGCGGCAGGTGGGGAACACCCCGCCCCCTCCCTCCAGCCTCACCGGCTGCAGCAGGAGCCTGAGCAGAGGCAGGGGGGGCCTTGGGCGCCGGGGTCTTCCTTGGGCGGCCCCGTGGCCGGCCCGTGGACTTTGGGGCCACCGTCTTCACGCCCTCCTCCAGCTGGGTCTCCACCGCAGCTGCCTTGGCGACGGCCTGCTCAACTGCCGCTCTACTCTCCTGCAGCTCCTGTGGCATGAATTGGGAGTGGGAAACTGGCACAATGCCAGATGCACAGCAAAACTTTCGATGGGCGGGATGGAGACTGTGCACGTTTGGAAACAAGAAAGCGCCAGACTCACGTGCTGGAGCTTGCGGATGCATTCGTGGGCCTCGACCTGCTGACGAATCGCCGACTTGGCATCCTGCGTGGCCAGCTGTGAAGCCAGGGGCAGCACAAGCGTAGAGAGCGCATGAGGATTTCATTGTAATGGGGGGAAAGACATGCGACGTGGCTTGCAGGCTCAGTGGATGCCCAGGATGTTGTGCTTCCTCTCAAGATTGGATGGGAGACACAACAACTTTGTGACCCATCATGACTGCGGCAAGGCCCCACGAGAAACTCTCACGGCAGCCTCAGTCGCACCATAAATCTACCTGCGTGTCTTCCTCCAGCTGCTCCTGGACCCTCAGCGCCTCCCTGAGTCTGAGTTCCGCCTCGTGCTGTGCTGCCTGTGTGGGAAGAGACGATCCATGAGTGTGGCATGCGTCTAGGAATCAGTGCCAGCTTTGCCAGCAGGCTCTCCTGGACACTTCTTGCCGGACACCAGCTCCGAGCCCGGCCTCATTACTTTGCCCCCGTCTGGCTCCTCCCCAATGAATCTAGGGGGCTATGCATACCTCTGACTCCTCCAGCTCGGCACGGAGCTCCATGACCTGAGCTGCGTGGTCGGCCGCAGACTTGACCTCAAGCCGGTGTAGCGTCTGAGTGGGAGGGCTTTGGGGGCTGAGGGAGGCCAGGCGCGGAGCACCAGAGAGGCTCTGGTCAGGCTTTCATGCATGCCGGCATGAATCGCCCCCACACAAGAGCATGGTGCACCGCCAGGTGCCGCAAGACAAGGGCATGGAACGCTACGCCTCATCGCCTTTCGCCCCGCACCTGTGCATGGTGCAGCGCCTGCTCGACCTCGACTACACGCTGACTCAGCGTCTCCACCTCCTCCTGCGCATCCTCCAGGTCGAAGTTGGCGTCCCGCAGCTGCCCCAGCACCTTTGAGGTGTCCTGCGCCATGTCACATGCTCGACTGATGCTCACTCCGTGTGGAGAGGGCAGTGATAGAAGGTTGTAGTCGCCCCAGACAAGCAGGCAGGAGGAGGAGACGACAGGCCGGAAACTGCGCGGTCAGCCGGGAGATACCTTATGACCACCAGTCGACTCCCCTACTTCTTTTTAAAAGCACCCCGCAGACCTCCTCCACCACCCAACCAGCGCACCCTCACGGCCGCGGCGCGCGCCTTCTCCAGGATCTCCGTCCTCTCCCGCTCCGCCCGGAGCAGGCCTTTGGAGGCGGCGGCCTCCCGGCGCTCCGCCTTGAGGGCGGCCTCCAGCTCCGCCAGCCGGCCTTTGGCCGCCTCCAGTGCCGCCTGCAGGTCCGCCACCTGCTGCGCACGCTGCGCCGCCTCCTCGCCCAGCGCCGCTGCCCGCTGGTCGGAGGCCCGCAGCCGGGTCTCCAGGTCCGTCACCCGGTGCGCGTTCGCACGGCGCACGCGATGCAACATGCGTGCCCTCGGCCCTCCCTCGGCCTCGCCCCGGTCCTCAGGCGTCAGGGCCGTGTGGGTCTGGAGCCTAGGCGCTGCCCTGCGGGAAATGACGATGGCCAGCACGTATCCGGCCAGGACGCCAAGACCCAGCGGCTGCCAGGGCAAGTCCAGGGGGCCAGTCCGCGTGACGATGCTGCGGGGCCCAGCGTGCATTCGCTGCAGTGAGGGCGGGTGGGGCTGCTGGTGGGGTATGCACACGACCGAGCGGAGGCAAGGCGGGGCGGGGCGATGGGCATGGGACCCCTCCTGAGCACGTCCCTGTCGTGCACGAGGAGACCTGGTCTGCCCATCGCAGACCCTCAAACCTTACCCTTTGCCGCATGAGACGATCGGAATGCTGCAGATGTGTGCGATCCATAATCGAGGGCGTCCAGTCTGGGTGCTGGACAGCCCGGCTGGCTCCCCGACCGCCCCACGCCGGCCCGGCGATCATGGCAGTCGCCATGCCGCGCCCTGATCTATCGCGTGGTATAGGAGTAATGACACCACATATTTACTGCCATAAGGTCAGGAGACATGCACGACTGAGTGGCCGGGGTTGGGCTAGAATGAAGTGGGGCTTCGTAAGGGCAGGTAGATGGAGATCTAGGGGGCCGCCTTCCCTTCAGCACGCCTTGCCCTCGTGGAAGTCGGGATGGCCTCAGGCAAAGGGGGCACTGCACCTGTGCCTCTCCGTGCATAGGCCTGTCCAATTGAGTTTGCACATCCCCTGGCACTGTGTGGGTACCCCCCAGATAGCAGCAGCAAGTGGCAAGGTTGCGATGACCGAACGTCGAACAAATAATACCCTCTATTGCTTGCGCTGGATCGCCCGCAGCACGGCCGAGAAGTCCAGGTCACCCGCCCCGTGATTCCGTGCGGTCAGATACAAGTCGTTGGCGGCCGCGGCCACCGGCAGGTACTGCCCGGCGTCCGATCCCAGTTCCAGCGCCAGCCTGAGATCCTTCTGCTGGTGCTTGAGCGGGAAGGCGGGGTCGAAGCGCTCTGCCACCATGCTGGGTCCCTGTTTGTGGACAGGAGGAAGGGCTGTGGGTTTTCATGGTCGGCGTGCAACCGCGAGAGGGTGGAGTCGGCAGCCAGACCCTAGAACCTGCCATGAACGCCTGCATGATGCAGCAGATCGCCCCCATACTAGTATGCCCAGCAAAACCATCCTCCTCCTGCCTTGAGGGCTATCATGGGGGATGCCAGCGCCGACTGGTTGAGGATGGCCAGAAGGTCCTCCTGCCTCAGCCCCGCCTTCTTGCTCAGCCCCAGGCCCTCTGCCAGCGCCGCCATCATGCTTCCCTGCGGAAGCGGTAAAGCGTCCCGGATCTCTCGGACCATGCCACGCCATTCTGCAGCTAATTCGGGAACGCAGGTGGCCCGCCTGTGCTGCCATCTTTCCCCCCCCCCTTCCCTCGCTGCCGCTCCCTACCATGATCATGTTGACCACCAGCTTCATCTTGGCCGCCGACCCCGTCTCCCCGAGGTACACGGAGGTCTTGCCCATGGCCTCAAACAGCGGCAGAGCTGCATCATGCAGCTTCTTGTCCCCTGCGCAGTTTGTGTGGACATTGGTGGGTCGTGTCTCATGCTCTCCACCAGAGCAAGCAGGAGAAGCTTCCCAGCAGCGCTGATGCAGGCAAGGACTGCGTCAACCAAACCCCTTGCGACACCTCTAAATCGCCCAACACACCTGCCGTCATGAAGATGAGCGTGCCCTGCTCAGCCGGACCCTTGGAGCCCGACACCGGCGCCTCCAGGAAGGAGGCGCCGGCGCCGCGGACGGCCTCGCCAATCGTGCAGGAGGTGCCGCCGTCGACGGTGGAGGCGTCTATGTAGCCCTTGCCCCGGGACAGACCCTCCAGCGCTCCCTGCGACCCTAGCGCAACCTCCCTGGCGGCGCCGGGATCCGACAGCATGCTGATTGTGATGTCTGCGGCGGCGGTCACTTCGGCAGGGCTGGCCAGGACCTGCGTGGCCGAGCGTCGGTAGAGGGGAAAGGCAGGCTGAGGGGTGAGCTCAGGTGCTAGGAAGCATGGCCTTGGTGCACCAGCCAAGTGGTCCTCTGGCATCCATGGCAGAGGCGCCTCAGGCTCGCCAAAGGGCAGACCAGGGCGCCACTGGGAGGCACAAGCCGGTGATACAGCGTCTCAGGTCCCACGAACTCCCAAAATCTCCCCCTTGTGCCAATCAAGCGGTTGGCAGGGCCAGCATTGTGACTGCACCGCACATCCACAATGGACACACCTTGGCTCCCCCAGCTGCCAGGTCATCACATGCATTTGGGGAGCGGTTCCACACGACCAGGTCATACCCCGCTCGAATCAGGTTGAGGGCCTGCAAGGGCATGAAGTGGGTCCAGGTGATCATGCAGGCGGCATGGCCAGCAACTGATCGTCCTAGGTTTGGGAATGCATCTGACTGTACCCTGTGGCTGCCTCGTCATGGACGAGGCCCAGGCCTGCACTCCATGTCCCCTGCTCCACGTAGTCCCTCCCACGCTCCCGTCCACCCTACCATGGGCCTGCCCATGATGCCCAGTCCCAGGAACCCAATGCGGACATCAGCAGCATCGGCGCGCTGCAGTGCACACGTCGACAGGGATCGAGAGCGGCAGGGCAGGGCCCGGCGGGGGATGGGTCCCAGGCATGGAGCCCGCAGGCGGAGCCCCGGTCGGCACCCGGCCTGCACACCCACGGTCATGAGCGATCGACGGCACAACACGGCGAGCCAGATAGGGGTACAAGGTCACTGCCGTGCTAATGGAGCAATCCACAGTTGGTTATCATGCTCCCATCAAGGATGTGGTCCCAGGTGGTCGCAGGAGCAGCTGACACCCTTGGCCATTGCTTGCGCGCTGGAGTATCGGATCTCCAGGCATCGCCCGACTCTTCAATGTGACAGGTGTGGAGTGCAGTGCTTACAAGCCCAACTCAAGCAAGCTCCAAGCAATGAAAGAAGGGGCCTGTGGCTCATTCCACTGCAGCCGGGGGATTTCATACAAAAATGAGGCGGTGCTCTCAAGGGGGGAGGGAAGGATGGAGAGGGGGAAGGGGGCTCGGCGTGGCGCACACTTCAGCTCCCCTCGTTCTACACTGCTCTACACACTGCCGGTGCCAGCAGGTCATACTAGTTTTCGGTCTCGCGGTGCGCCTCACACTTGCAGCTCTCCAGTTGGGTCTTCTCGGAGGTGCAAGAGGGTGAGTGATAGGCGGTCTGGCGACCCTCTGAAGGGCGAGAGAGGGCGCCGCTGCCGGCAGGGACCACTGGCGAGCTGCTTCGCGGCCCTGCGCCGTGAGCCTGCGGGGCCTCCCGGCCGGGCACGCTGCCTCCAGAGGCGCGGTGCCTCTGGAGGCGCTCGAGGCGCAGGAGGAGGCCTCGCCAGGCACCCGGCGCGCTTCCGCGCCCGGGCACGCGCGGCCGGCCGACCCACCCCAACCATCCCACCGCTACTTGCGCGCGGCGGCGGCGGCCAGGATGGCCTCCTGTGTGCTGGCCGCCAGGTCGAACATGCGCTCCAGCGCCTCCATGTTGGCCAGGGTCTGCGACACCGCGCCCGGGTCTGCGCCGTCGCAGCGCAGCGCCGTCATGGGCCCGTGCAGCAGCTTGTTCACGATGGACTTGGTCAGGTCCTCCACCGCCTTCTTCTGCTTGTTGGTCATGCCCTCCCCCAGCCGCGCCAGCGTCTTCTCCAGCTCCAGCGCGCGGATGGCTTCCGCCTTGCTGCGCAGCGCCTTGATGGTGGGCACCGTCTCCAGGCTGTCGCGCCAGGCCTCGAACGCGGCCTGCTCCCCCGTCAGCAGCTCCTCCGCCTCCGCCGCAGCACGCGCGCGCCCCGCGCTGTTGGCCGCCACCACCTCGCGCAGGTGGTCCACGTTGAACACCTCCGCCGCGTCGCGGGCGGGGGTCAGGTCGCCCGCCACGTTGCGCGGCACCGAGATGTCCACGAACCGGCGCACGCCGTCCAGCGGCGCCGGAGGCAGGCCCTCCAGGAGTTCGCGCCCCACCAGCACCTCCTCCGACCCGGAGGCGGTGAACACCAGGTCGGCGGCGGCCACCGCGTCGCGCAGCGTGGGCATGAGTCCCAGCTGGAACTCCACATCCGGGAACTCGGCGGCCAGGGCCTCGGCGCGCGCCAGCGAGCGGTTGAGCAGCGTCACGCGGCCGCAGCCCTTGGAGGCCAGGTGCTTGACCAGCAGGCGCGACATCTTGCCCGCGCCCACGATGCACACACGCGCGGCGGGGAGGCCCGGGGCGGGCAGCTTGAGCGCCGCCAGCTCCGCGGCCGCGCTGGACACCGACACCGCGCCGGCGGAGATGGAGGTCTCGGTGCGCACGCGCTTGCCCGCCGTCACCGCCTGCTTGAACAGGCCGTTCAGGTGGCGGCCGAAGCCGGGGCAGGCCTGGCCCACCTTGTACACCTGCTTCACCTGGGACAGGATCTGGCCCTCCCCCAGCACCAGGCTGTCCAGCCCAGCAGAGACGCGGAGGAGGTGCCCCGTCGCGTCGCGGTCGCGCAGGAGGAAGAGGTGCGGGCGCAGGTCGGCAAGGGGGACGCCGCTGGCACGGGACAGCCAGTCCTCCACCTCGCGCACGCCGCGGTGGAAGGACAGGCCCACCAGGTAGATCTCCAGCCGGTTGCAGGTGGACAGCACAGCCGCCTCCTCGATGTGGGGGTAGGAGCACAGCTCCGCAATCGCGCGCGGCCACTCCGCCTCGGGCACCGCAAGCTTCTCGCGCAGCTCCACGGGGGCGGAGTGGATGGTCAGGCCGATGGCGATGATGCTGGACTTCTTCTCCATGGCATAGCCTGGCGGAGGGGAGGGGAGGCGGGGAGAGGGGTGCGGAGGTGTGTGGGTATGCGTGGCAGAGGGGGAGCAGCCCCGACCGGGTGGTCGGCAAGCAGATCGAGCCTCGACGGGTCGGCCCGGCGCCCAATGCTCCGAACCAACAGGCATGTGCACGCGACGAGGGCGCTAATGATCGACCTCCAGCCCCGCCCCGGTCCCACTCACGGTTCAGCCCCTTGGTGGCCTTCAGCATCTGCAGGGCGCGCTGGGAGGACTGGAGGTGCGACGCCGGCAGGCTTACCGAGAACTCAGCGCTAGACCGCACATTGCATGCCCTGCTCCGCCCAGGCCGGGCCTGGCGCAGGGCAGTGAATGCCTGCGGACAGGTCCACTGCCCCGACACGCCACACAGCATGTCGTTGCGGGACTGCAGCCCCAAGCCCGCAGTCTGCATGACTGATGCCATGCACGTGTCTATGGTGGAATAAGGAAACCTAAAACGCAGCCACGATGCAGGGAGTGGGGTTGGGGCTCGGGGCATTGTCTGCCTGTGAGGGTGTGATTTGTGATCAGGCCTCGGCCGGGGTCAAGCGCCGGAAGATTTTGTCATGGACCCACAGGATTTTCACGTCGCAGATTCGCATGCCCGAAATCTATCGCAGTCGTGAAGGGAATGATCTCTTACTCGGCTGGGAATGCCATCTGCTCTTGATGTATCGGTGGAGCCTTTGGAACCGTCCGCTCTCGGGTTATGCCTTGCACTGCTTGTCGCGGATGGGTCTCCAATGATCCTACATCCAAGATTTCTTGCCTCAGGGGGGTGTCCGCCTCCGCCTTCTACCACAGATCGTGCAGGTGCTTACATCAAAACGTATAGGTGGCATGTTCATTGGGCAACATAAATAATGGGTCGGCTGCAGGCGTGCAAGGATCACGGTACAAGGGGCCAGACCAGCTGGCATCTTAAAAAGGTGGGTAGCTCGATGGGTTTGGGGCCAGCCATCCCCGCACTCGTGGCGGCGGCAGTGCCGTAGACCTCCCGCCCTCAAGAGGAGGAGAGGAGGGGCGTGCGGCAGTCGTCGGCGGCGTGCTCTGCCGCCCGGACGATGCTGCCGGCGGGCGCGCCGCGCTTCCCCTCTGTGGCACGCTGGCGCCGGGCGGCGTCCTCGCCCTCTGCGTCCGTGCCGTGCGCACCCAGCCAGTACATGGTGAGGCAGAGCGCCGCCACCCCCTCCAGCACCAGCGCCAGGGTCAGCAGGCGGTGGTGGGAGCAGGCGAAGACGCAGAGGTCGTCGCGCAGGGCCACCAGCCCCTTTGGCAGCCAAGACCAGGCTGCCTGGCGCCGGCAGGAGCAGGCCCCTGGCGCGGCGTCGGGGCCCTGGCGCCCGACGCCGCGCCGCAGCCCCTCCAGCTCCTTCTCGGCGTCGTCCAGGCGATGCGCCGCCCGCAGCATCAGGCGGCGCGGGAGCTGGGCCTCCAGCCCCACCTTCCTCCCCCCGGCCACGCGCTCCGGGTCCGCCAGGCTGCGCAGCACGCCCAGCACCTCGCGCAGGAGATCCACTGCGTGGGGTGAGCGGGATGACGGGGAAGGGGGTCTGGAAGGAGCCACGCTTCGGCTATGCGACCAGGCGAGCGCTGATCAGGGAGCGGTGGAGGTGGGACGGTGGGATGCAGTGCAATGCAATCGCCAAGGCCCGGCTCAACACTCCACAATCCAGCAGACTCCATGGCGTGGCCGACCAGGACTTCATTACCCCTTGCAAGGGGCCTCACTTCCGTCCGTACCCGTGATCCACCCACCCATCCCCTCCCAAACACACATACAAACACACCTGTGCCCTGCATGCGAAGGTCGATGGCAGAGTATGCCCTCCTGCCGTCCTCGGCCCCGCGCCGGCCCTCCGTCCGGTCGTGGTGGCGCATTGCGGAGGCCAGGGCGGCCCCCAGGCCGGAGGGGCCAGCCAGTCTAGTCCCGGGTTCCAGGCCCCAAACGCCAGCGGCCGTCTCGGACTCGCCCTGCAGAGCTAGTGCCCTGGGCAGCGACGTCTCCAGGGGCAGGGAGGCCAGGATGTCGGCGAGCTGCTGGGCGCCCAGGCTGCTCTGGGCGCAGGCGCCCACCAGGGGGGCCAGGGCCTGGAGGGACTGCACCCCCAGCGCCGACACCAGACCGACCCCGGTCTCGCACTCGGGGCTGCGGGTTTTGGGGGGTGGAGGGGAGGGTGTGAGGGCTGGGTCAGAGTGGGATTCCTGCTCCTTCGCATGGGAGGAAGGAGGTGGCTGGGCATGCAGGATGCACACCACACAAACCAGTATCCATCCCTGACCTCTGTGCAACCACTCCACATCAGTTCGAGCACTCACCAGAGACACCCGTGGAGCTGGTGGGCCTGGAGGAGGGAGCAACAGCGCTCCAGGCCGGCCTCCCCTTCCATGAGCCTGGAGCTGCAGGCGTCCAGCACGGCCGAGGACCGAGCACAGAGTCCGGCGCTGACCATGGGGACCAGGGCCATGATCGCAGCACATGTAACCAGGTACGGTCTCGTTTGCGCCATGTCGGACAACCTCTCACGGGTGATAGGTCGAGATCGCGCGTAAGTGCCTGCGGTAGATGCGAGATCCCGTGTCGGGCCGAAGTGCACAAGGCGAATCGCGGCATCGGTACATGTCCAGCGTACATTTATTGGGTATGGATTGTGCATGTTGGGCGAGACTCAATGTGTCCAGCATGTTCAAGAAGGAGCAGCATATCCTACCTAGGCCGAGATGCAGCCTCGGATCCTACAGATCCAGGACCTCAAGCTATCGAGGACTAGAGATCTATAACTTTGTAAGAAGATATCGGTGTTTTTTTCCTCTGGTATGGGAGAGACACAACACTCACGGCGGCTTACTCGCAAACATTGAAGTGCGAACGTCAGCTATTGGCCAAAAAGAAAGCGGGAACTTGCGAAAAGTCCCCGGGTTGCATCCTAAAGTTGTCCTATTACATAAGCTGAAGCGGCAACCTACCCAAACTAGAATGTTTTCCTCAGATTCGAACATTGCTGGAAGTATATATAGGTCAGACTTCTGCTGATAAATACACTCGCACTTTTTTTGCTGGTGGCAAAAGGGGCATGCAGCTGCTGATCAGAGCTGATATGTTGGTGCATATGGCACCTAGATTCGATGTACACAACTTAAATAGCTGTATCTACGTCGACAGGGTCTTCGTACTTCTTCGCCCTTGGACCAGACCTGAGAAGAAGAGCGACGCGCTGTTACCATTCCCAGGGGCCCTGCGAAGATGTGAGCAATTGCGGCCAGGGCGGGATTCCAGATTCGACGGTGCACCATTGAGCAGAGGCACTGAGAGTTGGGAGGATCACCTCCTCTCTCACTCGGGCCGGCCACCCAATGCGTACCATGAATGTTGCTCTGCCTTCCTGTAGTGAATATGGGCAGTTTCACAACTGCACTGTGCGCAGTCCATGACCGAAACCACTTGGGCGTGCACCCCTCGGTCGCTTCCAAGACGGGTGATTACCTGCTGGGAACCAGTGTACTGCCCAATAGTCCTGCACACCAATGCTTGCTGAAAGAGAGGCAAGGACAAACTGAGACCAACCTGCTTCGGGCCAGACTGAACATCCATCACTCAGATATCCATGCCAAAGAGAAAAATGATTTAGCCATTCTCACGTGACACTCGCAAATATTCCCAGTGACACGTATATCCATGGCTGCAGATGTGAACACTGATGTAAACCCTATTGGCATTTTGGACGCCGATTCACTCCTCCGACACAAAGATTGGCGTGTGCTAGGTGTTTATTCCTCGAGTTCCAGTCACGCATGATCCATTTCTGATATCCTCAAACAGCAATAAACGTTTTTTTGGTTTAGAATTCTGTCAATATAATTGCAGTCTAGAAGTACAGGTGTCGACCGAACCACCACCACAGCACACTGAGCCTCCGCCGCTGAGAGACCGTGACAGGGAGGCTCGGGAACTTGGCTGAGCTGCAAGAAGTACTTGATACATCTAGACGTCTGACTGCGCTACCTTTAGGCCCCACCCATCGAGCTGGGATGTCGTGTTCAAAAGCTGTCGTGAAGGTGGCCTCTGCCCTCAGGAGGCGGTGCGAGCTTGCACACCCCTCCGTCGCCCTCAGCGGCTTGACCATGAGCGATATGAGGGCTGGATTGTCGCAGAGGCAGCAAAGCAGCAGCCTGGCGAACATTCCGGATGCCCGAGTAAACCCCGACGGTGTCAGGGCCATTGCTCGCAACCTGCTGCTGGACACGCTTCAGATGGTGAGTACCTGGACCCCCATGGCGCTAGCTTGGAGGAAGAGCCGAAGCAATGATTACAGTCCCCAGCTTGAATGCACAAGGGGTGAGGGTGGCAGCTGGGGTGCTCCCTGTCCTAGTGCCAACCGTTCGATATCTGTGCCAAACATTGACCGAGACCCTTGGTCACCCACAAAACATATGCAGATGAGGAAGTTCGAGGCCTCTGGCATGAGTCGGGAGCAGGCAGAGGGCTTGACTCAGCACCTCACCCAGATGCTGTGTCAGGATCGTGATAAGCTGGCTGACCTTTATGTGACCAAGGAAGTGCTGAAGCGGGTGCGCAGCGGGGGTGTGAATGGGACTCTGATCACCAGTTTAACGCTTGCTGCCTGGGCTGGGTGCCGCCTCAAGTCTGTCACCCTCACAACGCTTGCACATTGCAGAGCCTGTTGGAGCACGAGGCCAACATCGCTGGCTTCCGAGCAGAGCTGCTCAAGAGCCAGGAATTGCAGGCCGCCTCCTTCACACGAGACACTGAGCGGTTGCAGGACGGCCTGGAGAAGATCCGGTCTGAGATCAGGTGAGTGCCTGCACCTGTGCGAGGCTGGCGGGAGAGGAATCTGCAAGAGCCCTGATCAAACGAGTTGGATGCACCTTCTAAGGACCCATCGCATGTATCTGTGCTTCACGAGCGATCCCCTTGCTCAAAGGAAAGATCCAGTTGGTGAGCAGTGCCTCTTACATCCCAATCTCCACCTTGCTGCCTTTGAAAGAAAATGCTCCATGTCCAATTCCGTCAGGTATGAGGTTGACAAGCTGACGGCAAGTCAACGACTGGATCTTAATCTTGAAAAGGGCAGGATCCGGGATGAGCTCCAGTCCCTCCGAGATATGGCCACAGAAATGGAAATCAAGGTCCGCTGGGCGGTTGGCTGTGGTTGCAGTGGATGGGCGAGGAGAAGAAAAGGCTTCAAGGTTTTGTCGCTGGGGAGACCAGTGATCTCCCTTCCCCCACGGTGAATACCCCCCCGCCCAAAGTCTTCACTCTGCATTTGAAATGCAGGTGGATAAGGAAGTCAACTCCTTGAAGGCGGCTATGGAGCAATCCAAGAACGATACCGTAAAGTATGTGCTCGGTCTGATGCTGGCCCTGATGACGGCCGGGCTGGGGGCAGCGCGGCTAGTTTTACACTGACCGCCATGAACGCGTACGTCGTGACGGAGAGACCAGGCCACATGGCGATCGCACATTGGTTTGCATGGTACCTCGCGTAATACTCGCAAGGCTGAGGAAGAAGAGAGACACAGCCGTGAGATAAGCACGCAAACCCGTGGCCGTTAGGGCGCCCCAGTAACACCCGAAGTAGTCGCGGCTGCAGCGCACATGTCGTGAGCCAGACCCTGCAAACTCGATTTAATGTATCCATGTATCCGATCAAGTGTCTCGACCAGGTTATGGTGGTTGTATTGTACCCTGCATGATGTCCACGTTCACGGTTTGTGTCGGAACCTGCTTGCCAGGTCCCGCGCAATGAGACGACCTGCAGAGAGCCGGATCAAGGAAGGGCCCAGAGCCTTCCAAACACTATAATTGGAAGGGCGAGGGCCCAGGGTTATTGTCCACTATCTCACCACGCCATGCAGAGTCGAGAGGCTCTGAATGCTGGGACCAGTGGCTCACCCGAAGGGGCCCAGCCCCCCCTCCGTTATGCCTTCCCTAGTGCCCGGGGCCCCACGTCCCACAACCGATCGAGCGCTTTGATAAAGGATATGGATGCCCTGAAGCAACGTATGGCAACCGCCAAAGCTGGAACGGGGGAGGTGGCAGCGGTGCTCTCCTCGGTCACCTTTCAGCCCCGGGCGGCAGCCTTCACCAGTCTGATCCAGGCAGCCAGCAAGGCCAAAGCCACGGAGAAGGCGCTAGAGCTTTTCCAGTGCATGCAGGACATCTTCGGCATCCCCCCTAACACCTTCTCTTCCTCTGCGCTGATCTCCGCCCTGGCCAAGTCCGGGCAATGGGAGCTGGCGGAGTTTTACTTCCACGACCTGGTGGCACGCTCCTCCAACGACCCCCGCAGCCGGCCCAACACCGTGACCTTCTCCGCGCTATTAAATGGTGCGGCAATGTGTGGGAGGGGGCGTCCCGATCCTCCGCAGCTGCCCTGGATGCCCCTGGGGAGGGGCGCCTGCCGCCTGCCTCGTCAGGCTTCCCTGCCGTCGAGGGGTTGCGGCTGGTCGACGTGCTGCCTTCTGCTCGCTGGGTCTCAACTCCTCAATCGATTGTCGATCACGAGCGGCGGCGTGCTGCTCGATGCCACGGCTGCCCAGTCTCCGATTCCCATCCTGTGCAGCATACGAGAAAGGGGGCCAGTTCGAGAAGGCGCTCAAAGTCTTCCAGCAGCAGCTCGATGCCAAGGTCGACCCAGACCTCATCACCTTTGGCAGCCTGGTCTCGGCCTGCGAACGCGCAGGTGCAGCCTCCCGGCGGAGCCTGGCTGGGGATGGGAAGGATGAGCGCCGTGCGTCGCCTGCCCCCACGGGCTTGTCAGCCGTGCAGTGCTGCAACTCCAACCCCACCCGACACCGCCGCCCCGCACAGGCCAGCTGGAGACGGCGATCGCCATGCTGGACGTCATGCACAACTTTGGCCTGTCCGGCACGCAGCAGATGTACAACGCGGTCATCGCGGCGGCGCCGGACTGGAACTCGGCGCTCGAGGTCTTCCTCGGCATGCAGTGCGCCATGGTGAGCGGCGTCTGCGGCCACGGCGTGAGGGGCGTCGCCCCCTGCCGGCTGCATGGTGTTCTCCGAAGGGGCGTGTGCCTCCCCTGCTCCTCACCTGGGAGGCACAGGGCCCCAATTGCAGTCCTTTGCTGACCCACAACACCTGCGGCCTGCCCACGGCTGCGCCCCAGGGTCACCATGACTCAGCCGTCAAACCCCCCTCCCCCCCCCAGGTGGAGCCGACCGCCCAGACCCTGAACTCCACCCTGATCCAGGCCGCGGGGTCGGGAAGCATGCAGCCCATCCTGGACGTGCTGCTGGCCGCCGGGCAGTGCCACGCCTCGCTGACGGCCAGCACGCTGGCGGCGGTGCGCCGCGCGACGACCGCGCTGGGCGGCGACCGCCAGCTGGCGCATGTCCTCTCCTCGCTGCCCTCAAGCCTTTTCAAGTGACGCCCCCGCAGACCACCCCTCCTCCAGCCCCCTGCTCTCTCTCTCCCTTTCGCTCCGAGATGCGCAACCCTCAAGACCCTTTTTCAACGCCAGCACACAGCTTGATCCCCCCCCCCCTCAAGGCCATGCATATGTGTGTTTCCGGGTGCCGGTTCCTTTGCCCCATACCCCCAGGCCCTTCACCCCTTTTCCCTCCCCAGGACCTTCTTTCATTCGCGACCCCACCCAGTGGGGATTTGCCAAACACCAGGCGGCGCGTGCCCCTTTCCCCTGGGCTCATGCCGTCCGTTTTCCAGACCCTCTTCAATTCTACTGATCACGAACAAGTCCCTTGTAGACAGCTGCGCTTGGCAGCTGGATACTCAAGCCCTTCATTCATTGGTTGCATTTGTTTTTTCCCAATCCCTACCCACACTCCGATTTGCTCTCTCCCTTCCCTGGCCCATGCGCCACCTCCAGTAAGCCACGTCTTTGTCCGGTGGAGAGGGTTAAAGGCATTGGATGGGAGGATGGGACGGCGGGAGGAGGTGGCTGGGTCGTCAACCGGAGGACGGTGCGCAGGAGTGTCTACAGAGGGGTGGGGGGGAGTAGCATCATCTTCCATCAGCGAAGGATCGCATCGCTGCGCGACCCCGGGGGTTTGCCACTTGGGCTCCCCGGCGCAGCCACGGTGTTCAAAGGGAAATGACCAGGGCGCATGGGCATTCCGCACTGATTAATCTTGTCTGAGCCGGCTGTCGACGCTCGGCCGAACCTGGAGTGGGTAGACTCTGCGCTCAGGAGTGGTATTGCCGGGTTGCCAGCAGGGCAACGAGATCGAACGCCCTCCCCGGCCAACACACGCATCCTCGGTCCGGAGGGTGCATGGTGAGACTACCACTCCGAGTTTACGAAGAAGTCGGCGACATGGCGATGGCCAGGGCATCCACCGGGTGACTCTGGAGCCGGGGCTCCTCAGCCAGAAGCTGCGCTGGCCCTGGAACCCACTCCAACCTCACGGCAAGCCGTGTAAACTCATACTTTGAGGTAATTACGCGGCCAGACTTCCTTTCGAGCGCGGCTGTGCATGGCACAGCGGTGGCGCAAGGCCCCGCTGGCCTTGGTGGTCCTGCTGAGCATTGTCGCCCTCGCGCAGAATGCCACCATCGTCAACGATGGTACGGATGTATAATGGAGAGGATTGGGCCTGGCGCTGCGCTGACTGGGCGGGCGGGCGGCCCGGTCCCGCATGAGCACATGCCTGCGCCAGGGTTTTCTCTCAGCCCCGGCCTGCCCGTCCCCCTCTCCACAGCCGCAACGCTCCAGGAGTTCGCTGCATCAATAGAGAACTGGGATGAGTTCAGCACGGCAAATAATTATGTCTGGAACAGCTCCCTCCCCACCTGCGTCTGGAAGGGCGTGACGTGCTCCTTCGCAGGCCGAATCCAAGCACTGTGAGTTCGTCGTTGGTGGGGCCGGGAGGGCCAGCATTATTCTATCCACACCTCCCAGGCTGGCGGTTGTCTCCGGCGCATACCGGGGTCTGTGGAGTGTGTTGGGAGCTCTTCCTCATATGAGAACTCCCAGCCCCGTCAGCTGGGACGTGGGCACCAGCTCCCAGGCGACCCCATGATGCCAGGGCAGCCCTGCGTTGGGCCTGCCCTGGCTCCACACCACCATGGGCCCCCCCTTCCCACCCCCCACCCCCCTTGATTAGCCCTGGATCCTCTGCCGTTCCCACCCACAGGACCCTGCAATGCAGCGGGTGCAGTGTGCTTGCGGAGGGCACCGTGCCGGCCTCCCTCTCCCAGCTGGACGCGCTGGAGACCCTGAATCTGCAATTCAACGAGTTCACCTCCTCCCTGCCGGAGGAGTGGGGGACCTCGGGCGCATTCCCGGTCATGCGGAACATGTGCGCGAGGCACTCGTTGTTTGCTGGGGGTAGAGTGGGGCCGCGCAATGGCCCACAGGAAATGACCATTGCATCCTGCCATGCGCACTGGCACACCCTGCAGGGGCTAGGCGTTTGCTGCGGCATGGCGACCTACAGGCGGGGATCCACACCGTCGCCGCAACCCTGAGCTTGCCGCAACCCTTTCCCCCTTTCCTCCTTTGCTTCAGGTTCCTGAGCAATAACAACTTCACTGGCACAGTGCCGGAGAGCTGGGGGGCCGAGGGGGCGCTGCCTAACCTCCAGCTCCTGCGCCTGGACTCCAACGCCCTCACGGGCTCCCTGCCGGCCTGGAACGCCTCCTCCCTGCCCGCGCTCCTTGTCCTGTGAGTCGTGGACGCTGGTGTCTTATCCTCACCAGATCGCATGTGCCATGTGGAGTCCGGGGGAGGGGCACGCCGCGTCGCCCTGCAATACCACAGCGGGGTGGGTGCGCACCCTCGTGGCCATCCCTTTTCCCTGTGCACCCGCAGCACCCGCAGC